GAATTGGTTAATGATAAGTTGTTAGAAGATAGAACCACAACAGAATCCAACCTAGCATCCCCTTCTTCTAGTATGTCAACAAAATCTATGGATACTATGAAGAATAAGTTGCCCCGGAAAAGCTTGGATGTCTCAGGTCCAGTTCGACCGTATCACCCCCGCTTGAAGAATTTCTGGTATCCTGTTGCTTTCACCACTGATCTGAAGGATGACACTATGGTAAGCTACAGTTCAGAACTATAATATTGTTTACCATCTTAATGCTGATCACTTTATGTCATGTCACAACATATTGACATATATACTCAATCTGCAACAAAAGCAAAACAAATCAGGTTGACCGGCACCAGTGTTTCCTTCTGTTACGTGGCAATTTTGTTGTTTTCATAAATCATCTAGTAGAGAGATGCCCTCTTACACGTCTTGTTACTTCTTATTCCAGATTCCAATTGATTGTTTTGAAGAGCCATGGGTTCTTTTTCGTGGAAAAGATGGGAATCCAGGATGTGTCCAGAACACATGTGCACATAGAGCATGTCCTCTTCACCTTGGTTCAGTAAATGAGGGTCGCATCCAATGTCCCTACCATGGTTAGTAAGAAATTAGGAAGTTTACTAGCACTCATTATCATATTTTATGAAAAAGAGAGACAAATGAAAAATTTACACATTATGGACTGATATCCAATCCTTCAATGTGTTATACCAATTGTAGTATAAAATTTTATAATTCTTGAGACTTTTTTTGATATATCAGGGTGGGAATACACAACAGATGGAAAATGTGAAAAAATGCCATCTACGCGATTACTTAATGTGAAGATAAGGTCATTGCCATGTCTTGAGCAAGAGGGAATGATCTGGATTTGGCCTGGTAATGACCCTCCGACGACAACCCTTCCTTCCTTACAACCTCCTTCTGGATTTCAAATTCATGCAGAGGTATGCTGGAGGTGTTTCTGAAGGCTATTTTTGATTGGAATTATGTGAGCTTTGATTAAGAGACTTAATGAAGAAGTAGGAAAATTTTGGAATTGAAGTAAAAGCCACCACTATCTCACCTCAATTTCTTTTGGTGTCCTGATGAATGACAGATTGTCATGGAACTTCCAGTAGAACATGGGTTACTTCTGGATAACCTTTTGGATCTCGCTCATGCTCCTTTTACTCACACTTCCACATTTGCCAAAGGATGGACTGTCCCCAGGTTTGTTTCTGCAATTAGATTGCGAAATGGTTTTATTGATTTTGGGTTTGGTGTTGAAGCAGAATAGTTTCAATGTTAATTTTTGCACTTAACTGTTTTCACTGGGACAGATGAGTAGTAGTTTGGACTTCTAGACATCTTATTTAAATGATTGGAAAAGTTAGAATCATATGCAAGGCTAAGGAAACAAAATCATTCAAAAGGATTAGAAGTGTTTTCATGATGCTCTGCCTTCATGACGTAATTGTATTTGATCATTTCTTCTTTGCATGTCCGCTACAACAAAACCTACCTTGCTTTCTGGTGGTATGTAAGACTGGGTATTTTTGCTTTCTGATTAATGACCTCCAAATATCTTGCTTCTTAGTGGAATTGATGGACCAGATGCTAACAATGCATAGAGGGTTTTATCTTGAATACTTAAATCTTACTTACTGCATGTAATCTCAACATCTCAGCCTAGTGAAGTTTTTGACTCCTGCATCTGATCTCCAAGGATACTGGGACCCTTATCCCATAGATATGGAATTTCGGCCACCTTGTATGGTGCTATCAACCATTGGGATATCAAAGCCTGGGAAACTGGAAGGACAGAGTACCAGGGAATGCACAACGCACCTTCACCAGCTTCATGTATGCTTACCTTCATCAAGAAAGAAGACAAGATTATTATATAGAATGTCTCTAGATTTTGCTCCTGTGTTGAAGCACATTCCTTTTATGCAGTATTTATGGAGGCATTTTGCAGAACAGGTAAAAAATATCTTGTTTTTCTATGCTTTGGGTAGTGGGTTGGTGGTTTTAGGTGAAATTCACATGAATCACTCACTGAAACCTATGAAAAATCTTCTTTGGTTTCATGAACAAATAACTCGCTGAAAAGAATGGTAACTTCTATAGCTAATGATCAACATTCTTGTAATACCACTGATGAATAACCTTCTGGAAGCAGATAACTTCAACATTTCTGCATAGAACTTTACGTAAGATATGGTTTTTGTTACCAAATTACTTTAAAAACCATGCTGGTGGCAAGAAGTATTATATTAGCCAGTCTTTCCTCTGCATCATTGGCTTTTGAATAACATGTCTAATATCTACCTACCTTGTTTGTGACTAATATTTCTGGTCCTACCTTATGCATAATCGATACAGGTATTGAATGAGGATCTGCGACTTGTGATTGGCCAGCAAGAGCGTATGCTCAATGGGGCAAATGTCTGGAATTGGCCGGTAGTCTATGATAAGCTAGGAGTGAGGTACAGATTATGGAGGGATGCTGTTGAACGAGGAGCTAAACAATTACCCTTCGGTAAATCAATGTAAATTGTAACTCTAGCAACCAATTTAACATCTCCTCACATCGTCGGGACCTACTCTCGCGGCTCTCCAGTCTTCCACATTCAGATATTTTTAAGGCTTTCACCGAAGACAACCAAGGCAATTCAGCGGAAACTGTGTATTGATCTGAGACAGATGCGAGTTGGTCTCTACACTCAAGCCCTTGTAAAATAATGGAAACTGTACACTGCTTGTATAGTGTTTGTGTACAGTCAAATCCCCAAATCTTTTTTGGCCCCCTTTTATAACCCCAGACCAGAGAAATGTTCAGAAGGATTGGTTTTTTGGCCTCAGAAGCCAGTACTGATCTCTTGTGCTGCGGCAGGAAATTCTCTTGTATTATAACATCTCCTGTTTAATGAAAATGCTCAAGATTTGCAATTGACTTTCTTAAACTCATCAATATCTCACGCTTAAATGCATCGACGTAAAATTAGAGAAAAATTCTTTCTTTCTGGGGCAATTAGTGCTCAACGTAGGATGGGTCATGGTCAACGACCTCAGGAAGAAATGATGGATAAGTTGGTAAGGCTAATGGAAATGATGACCGTCTGTGAAGGGAAGGGTGTAGTTGAAGGACCTTCTATTCCAGATGTAGAAGGGAGCCTATACATGATCCTCAACAAGCATACCAGATGCCAAGGTCACTTGTAAAACTATATAACCAAGTGTTTAACATTAGATACCAAATAATAGCGTACATGTAACAGGTACATTAAACACACTGCATTTTTGCGTTACAGCAAGACAACTCTAAAGGCTTGTCCACGTGTTCAATTCATGCAAGCATTAATTCTAACAGCCTGGTTGGTATAACTAATCGATTGTCCATTGAGAAACGAGCAACAAACAGTTTCTTTGGTCTTTGGCAATTTGCGTAACTTTAGTCGCATGTATAGTCTGCCAGCTTTAGTGAAGAAGAGTAAAGTTGTTGCTAAATTATGGTTTAGTAGTAGAAAAACTAGATAAAGAATGAAGGGGCCATATGACAGTGTGCCTGAAATTAAGTCCAAGCACATGCATTTCATGTTCATTGCCCAAAAGTTTCTATTTCATCAAAAAAGGAAAAATAGAGGGGTGGAAATAATTGTAAATTTAACTAGCTAGGATTTAGGAATGGTAAATCGAATTGCCAGGGAAATTTGGGTTTTGTTTGCTTTAGAAGAACTTGAGTTTAAAATATTCAAATCGCGCAATTTATAATTCAACTATTTTTTTAAGATATCAAAAAATTAATAATTATAGAAACAATTTGATCAAGAAGTGATAAGTTGAAAATTTTTAGATTAAAGGAAGTTGATGAATGTTAAGATAATTATATAAATAATTTAATTAGAGTTATTATACAATACTATTATCTGGTCAGACTATAATATCTTATTAGAGTTGTATTACATTGTCTTTATTTGTCAACCGGTTCAATACCTAGGTCAACTTTCCTTGGAACCAGAAGTAGAATTAAAGCGATTTGACCTTTGTTTTAATGGAAATTTCCCTGATGCTATTGACCATTTTAATCTGATGGAATTTTCCTCCACTTGTGTCCATTTTCATGTTCATGGAAACTTCCTTGATCACGTTGAAACTATCAAGGAAATTTTCGTGGTGAATAGGCCAAAGCGATGAAACCATAAAAGGGTTTTTGAAATGTAAAATCTAAATTATGATTATAATATAATTATCATATACGGAAATATATTCCGATAATTATTTCAAAACTTTCCAGGCAACTATTTTACAAGAGGTACAGTATTGTTCAAAGTGAAAACGGACAACTCAAAAACCTGTTCTTTTATTTTTTACTGAATTTTACGTACTTGAAATAAATCTTAAAATAAACACACCACACACACACATATATATATATATATAATATATTATATAAACATGAAATATGCCAAAATAAACATATTTAATCAAATACAGGACATATTTAACAAGATAAATAAACATAATCGCATATGAAATATTAGAATAGATAAAAACGAGATACATTATTTAAAACATCAGACTGTAAAGAGGAAATCTGAAATCCTTTAGTTTATTTTATAATTATTCAACTATGTTTTATACCTAAACCTATATTGAAAGGAGATAATAATGAAAATAAGAAAATTGGGGGGGGGGGGGGGGGAAGGCCAAATGTATAATTTCAATTGATTACAGAGATATCCTTTCTAATTTTATAATTTTTTTTCTATAACAAAGTGAAAACAAAAAATATTATAATTGATATATGATTCAATTAATTAGTGATTAGTAATTGGCCTGTTTTAAAAAAAAGTAGCTCATTTAAATTCTTTTTATTCAACTAATAAGAAACTATTTCATGCAGTGTGGCCTAAAGGATGTTAGTTAATCATTATTTATCATTTCATATATAGAAACTGATTTCTATTAATATAAATAAACAATTTAAAATTTCTTTCAAGATTATAGAAAGATCTCTCCAGTTCCACTCGCTTATTTTATTCCTGTATCAAAGGACTAACTTGTTTCGTGCTATTCACCCCATTAATTTGAAACGCCACGATCCTACATAAACCCAGATGAACCCTGATTGGAGAAGTTGAGGTCGGCAGCATTGTCTAATTGTTGTTGCAAGAAATTGTTGAATTCAGGTTCGGCTTCAACCTGTTGAGTTTGGGGATGTTGGGCTTGAGATTTCAGAACTGCAATCTCAGCCTGGGTCTTGGCTAGCTGGCTCTCTGCATTGTGTAATTGTTGCTGCAGCAGAAATATGAGCCCAACGCAGCCATACACAGGGTCTTCAACCCGACATTGTGCCTCGAAGTATAAAGAGTCTGCTGCTTCAGCTCGCAAATGGGTTGGGAGTTGCTGGAATTAATCAGGGGTAAACAAGTTAAACCATGCGTGTCAAGAATAACATCTAAAAGTTGGTTTAAAACTATTTAATTTGTCTCTTTTATTTTGATTATCATATGGCGCTTAATATTTAAAATATTGCTGATGAAATATTGAGTAACATCTCGATTGAAGAGAGGCACCACTCTTTTATTAACAAGAAATCTTGAATCTGCCTTGAAAGTTGTCACTAAAATAAGGTGAACTTGCAAAGGGAAAAAACATGCATGGGAAGGGGAGATATACCTGAAGTAATTTTGCAACATTGCTGGCGCCATAGATTCTGTGAATAGAAACAAATCTCTGGGGATTATTGGATGGAAAATAAGGGGAGAAAATGCAATCGGGAGGGCATCTTCTTCTTAGATATCTACAAGCAGAACAACGACCAGAATTCATGATTCAAATATCTATTCAACCAACAAAGGATTCTCTCAATATATCTTGTTCTTGAAGAATCAAATCTAATCAAGATTAGAGATAATATATAGGAGAATTTGTATTGCATTAGCAATGGAGAAAATTCTTCTTCCAACGGCTACCTTTTTTTCAAATTCTGGGATTTGGAAGGGAAAGTTGCTAATCGGTAGGAATTGCCATATTTGCGCAGCTTGGACTAGAGAGAAACAAGTATGGCAAGTTTTTTTTTTTTTTCTTTTCCATATCCAATACAGAATGACGCCCAAAAGAAAAAGGATTTTGGAGTAAAAATTTAGAGCAATGGAATCATTATGAAACATATTCAGTATATATAGCTGTTAATAATTTGATTTTAACATTTTTATATTCCATTCTTCAACTACTTTTGTTTTATTTTTTTTTATAACTTTTCGTTGTTTCTTTTATAAGACTTGTATAGTAAAACATTTTTTTAGATATAATTATAAATAAAGGTAATAAAAGAAAAAATATTTGCTCTTTGCACTTGTTACTTCCCGAACTTTGATTACTCATGTGACATTTTATGTTATTATTTTTTAAAATTAAAAGAATTATTATAAAATAAAACCAATCACATGTGTTTCATACAAGTTTAGCCACAAGCAAAAAACATTCTTAGCATGAGAATTCTTATTCTTGCATGACAATGATGAGCATTAAGAAAAAATTTTCTAACTATAGGCGCATTGCATTAGGAATTGAGAAAATTTTTATTCCAACGTTAACTTTTTTTTAAAATTTTGGGATTTGGAAGGGAAAGTTGCTAATATGCAGGGATTGCCATATTTACGCAGCTTTCTTCTT